ATCATAATGGAACCAACATCATACCCCATAACGATAACACTAGGAAACCCTTCTTTGGTAATAACACCCGCCAGGGAAAAATCAACTTCAGGCAACAAAAGGTTGTCAAGCGTAGCTGGGCACCATCCAGTGGACTGTTGGTTTTGTTACTTTTGATGACATTGGCAGATGTTATCTCAGTGCCAATCTTCCTCACTAAAAAAAAAAAAAAAAAAAAAAACAGATGTCAAGACATCAAGGGGTCAATTGTAATATAGTTTTGTTTTTTTTTTTAATTGCTCTCTTGACCCACTTTGGAAGCCCTGGCTAGAGGTCGGTCAGCTCCCCTCTTTGAGGAGATAGGTCCACAACTCACTCATTTCCCCTGTCGGGCTCTCACACTCCAGGCCACTGTATACCCACAGGTAATTTAAACCAAAAGAAAGGTCACCATTTCTTTTGATGATGTTAAAGTGTACATTGAACTGTTATATAGCCCTATTTCTAGATAAAGTAAAGAATGAGACTTGCGTTTTATACAGGCTATAAACCCTATATTGGAGCTTTCTGAATTTTGTTAGTTTTGTGTATTTTATCCCCAAATCTTTATCATAGCAAACTTTCCCCTTCCACCTTCCTTCTACTTTTACTTCTCAGTTTTTAAGGACTGGTTCTCATATTCTTATTATAAATCATCCCACATACAGATAAAGCTTCCTCTTAGGTGGAAAGCAGGAATTGTGGTCAAAAGAAATTGCGCAACCCTTCCGACTCTGGGCTATTTAATTCCCTCTGTTGATTCAAAATTTACATTATAAAATGGAGATCAATCTGCATGAGGATTTACTTTCACCAATGACCAGTTTAGTGTGATTCTGGTACGTTATTAGTTACTTTTGACGCTTTGAACTTATTTATGTTGAGTGTAATTATTTAATGGTTTTGTCTGACATTTATGACTCCATTCATTGGATGCCCAGTAGACACCAGTGTGCATTCGAGTTTAATTAGGATGTTTAAAGTACAGGATTATATTGAAATCGGGTCTCGAATTTTATTTTCTCTATTAATAAATGAATATCAAATTCAAAACATAGGGTTTGAAGAGCTCTGAGCCATATCAGGAGACTGTCAATGAAGGAGAGTGAGACCCCATTCACACTAATCCATTTCACAGATTTACAAGAGACAGGAAGATATCACCACTTTTGAACAACCTTGAAAAATTATAAATAAATAAATAAATGTTCAGGTTAAACCAGAAGCTCCGTGTGTCAAATGTTGGTTTCTTTTTCAGAGGCTAAATTCAAGTTCAACGCTGCCCAGTAGACATGAGTGAGAGTGGTAGGAAGGATGGAGTGTTAATTCCTCTTTTGTCAACATTCTTGCTGAGTTTGTTGTCTGGTTGGGTTTAATTTAAACCAGCTGAAGCTCAATGAGCAGAATTGGAAATGACACTGGTAAGAGGAACTATACCTTGACTTGAGAGAAAGAGTTCAAAAAGAAAAAGAAATGCCTTCTAGAATTTCAGAAGATATAGAGCAAGACCATGTCTTTTCCAAATGGTGGCTATGAAAGGATACCAAGGAACACAGTTCAAAATGACTGTCTATCTAATGCTCTGAGGTGAATTTAACTATTTATCTAGGTCCACAATATATTTATCAGATTATAAACCCATGAGAACTTTTGATGATGGAAAAGTGTAGCCTTACTTTGGCTTCCTGCTATCCTAGGGAAGATTGGTTAGTCCAATCTCCTTGTTTCCATTAATAAAGGTTTATTTCAGAAATTCTTAAAAACCATTCTAAATTAAACTTGTGCATGATATTGATTCTGTTAAATACTCATTAGCTCCCTGACAATTGGATATTCAGTGCTGGCTCAAGGTTAAGTATTCCTCGATAATTAGTTCTCTCTTTATTTGTACCTCTCAGAGTCTGGCAACAGGGTAATTATTGTGTTGTCTAAAATTAATCTGCCTTTTCACATAGTCTACTGTTTGCCCTACAATTTCAACTCTTGTGTCTTATTTCAACATATATATATGTTGTCAGAAGTTGCAATGATGCAATCTTCATGTCTTAATTAATTTATACGGGAGATTATAAAAACTCTCTTATATAACCTTCAGTAATCTAGTATTCTAGATGCTCTTGATGGTGATAATGAAAATCATAATCAATCCTTCCTTTATAAATCTTATAATGAAGTGACTAGACTTTCTAGTAGGTTATACACTATCCTCAGTCATCAAAAAATTATTTGCCTAGAATTAAAATGGTTGTAATTGTCCTTTAAAAACAATGACTAGTTTATTAAGAACTATTATTAGGAGCAGGCAGAGAAGGACAGAGGATCTTTAGTTTAATAAATATGTAAATTATAAATTACTAATTATTATCTGCTTTTCACTTTCAGTCTCTGTAACTTGCTGTTTTCTCAAGCCATTCTTTCAGGTTCTTTGAATATATCATCTTATCCAATTCTCATAAAAAAGTACTCCTTCAGGTTGAAGGAGGAAACTATAAAATTTATAAATTTTAGTAAAATTAGTATAAATTTGGTAAATTTAAGAGACTTTGGTTTCTAGAATTCTGTAGATCTCAACTATCCTGGGAATAATGTAGCTTCCTTATTTTGAGATTGGGTGATCTATCATAATACAGAATACCAGTAAATACTGAGCTTGTTATTTTACACTTATGGACAAATATCACAAGCAGTTTTGATTTAATTCTCTTCAAAACGGAAAAGTGAACTTTTTCACTGTAGCGCCTACCACCATAATAGCTAAATAACTTATGCATAATTAAGAAATGTACAGTGGAGAGAAACTGACCTGTGCTGTATTGAGAAACTAGCAAGAATGGAGGACTATTAATATCTGTTAAGCCTAAACAGATAACTGCATTATGAGATCATCAATAAAAATTATTTATTGAAAGCCATTCATTAGTTCAACCAACATTATGGAAAATCTAATATGTGCAAGATGTCGTAAGGCATAAGAGATAGGTCTGTAGGGTTGTGGAGAGAACATATTTCATTTATCTAATGACACAAAACACACCAACTCCAAATTTTTTTGGTTTAAAACAACAGCAGTCATTTATTTTTTGACTTTTCTGGAGTTTTGACAGGACTTGCTGGGGACAGCTTGTCTCTGCTCCATGTGGCATCAGCTGGGGTGACTCAACTGGAATTGGAAAATCCATTCCCAATATGGTCTACTCATATGGATAGCAAGTTGATGCTGGCTGTCTTCTGTGCGCTCGTTGGAGCTGTTGGCCAGAGCTTCCATTCTCCTCCATGTTGCCTTTGCATAAGGCTAGATTGAGCTTCTCACCACACAGTGACTGGGTTCTGAAAGGAAGAGAGTAAGTCCCAATGTGCAAATGCTTGTCAAGCCTTGGCTTGCTTCATGCTTACTAATACCCCACGGGCCAAAGCTAGTCACATAGCCGAGCCCAGAGTCAATGTGGGAGAAGATCATGCAAGGGTCTGAATACTGAAAAGAAGGCTGGTTAATTGGAGGCCAAAGTAACAGCCTAGCATGGCAGGGTGGCTGGCGAGTCATAACACCAAGAACATACCCCGCCCTGCCTTCAAGGAGCTCACAGAGAAGAAACCTTTTGAATACTAGTAACGCTTACTGCACAGCTCAATGAGTAGATGTGGGGGACAATTGTTTACTCAGGACAATTGTTTGCTTATGGTATTATATTACAAATGTGACAGCTGAAAACCAGAAAAGTGTAGCCACGAGCCCAGTAATCACAAGATGGTCCACCAGGGGCCAGGAGAGGACATTTTACACCCTGATAGAAACTTATTTCTTGCTCTCAATTCTGCAGTCAAGTCAAGTTAGTGGCATGTTTCAACTGTTCTAGGCTGTTTTATAACTTGTTTATATAAAGCATTATGGCAACTTGGGGTACGTCCTTAGGCAAATCACTCATCTCGTTAGGTTTCATTTTCCTCGTTTCTCAAACAACGGAGTTGGATTAGTTGATCTTTAGAGTTCCTGCCCATTGTTATATTTTATTATATAACAATATAGTTATGATTATATCATGTTATAACAACAACAAAAATGTGTTTGTTTCTTGACAAGCACATTCCTTTAACTAGTTGGAGTCAGTAAAGCTAATTAAGAACTAAATAGTGAATGTGAGCTTTCCCTGGGCCCATCTATTTGTTCCCTAACAGGTTCTGACTGTGGAAAGTTGGGCGGCACGAGTTAGGATGGCTCCTGGCTTTGCCGGGTGAGCTCCTTCTCTGCTGTGAACCTCGGTCTCTTCTTTGATCAAAAGGTTAATTCTGTATTACTTATCTTACAGGGTGACTAAGAAGATAACTTGAGATAAGAGAAGTGAAAGTACTTGGCTTTGATTAGGGACTGAGTTTTTTCTGTCCCTCTGACCACATTGTACTAGATTCTGACAGTGTTGCGTCAGTCTTTGGTAAAAAATAGAGGAAGTCGGCAGGCCTGGTGGCGCAGCGGTTAAGTGCGTGCTCAGCTTTGGTGGCCCGGGGTTTGCAGGTTCGGATCCTGGGCGCGCACCAATGCACTGCTTGTCAAGCCATGCTGTGGTGGCGTCCCATATAAAGTGGAGGAAGATGGGAATGGATGTTAGCCCAGGACCGATCTTTCTCGGCAAAAAGAGGAGGGTTGGCATCGGATGTTAGCTCAGGGCTGATCTTCCTCACAAAAAAAAAAAAAATAGAGGAAGTCACTCTGAGTTAGGTATTCATTAACCTCTGGAGGATAGCCCTGCCCACAGCAAGTGGTGAGGTCCCCCTCTTTCAACTTCCTCTGTTGCTAAATCTTTGACCCTTTTAAGGAAACCCAAGGGACTGTAGCCGAAGAAGAAAAAAATGAGACATTTTTAAGAAGCAATTGAAGACACCTTCTGCCGAGATTGTGCTTTTTTTCCCCTTTGCCTTTCTTAGAAGGCACCAACTACAAAAGGCTTTTTTTTTTTTTTTAACTTTAGTTTCACTTTCGAGTTTGTAGCAAACTTGCCACACTTCGATGAAAACGACTGGATTTGGACTAAGGAAAAAAGGAATGGTCAGCCATCCTTAGAGTAAGTGAAGGTATATATTTTAAATTCTTATTGGGATAGGCTCTCTTATGTTGGGTAAATCTAGAATGCATGTTGGTGTTTGTATTCTTGGGTCTTTCTTTGATTGAAACCCAGGCAGACTCATTCAACAAGAACGATGGGAAGAAAAGGGAGCTATGTAGCCATGGGGAGAAATGTTTCGTAACTCAGAGTACAAGGAATAGCAACAATTTCTAATTAACACGATAAAATATTTTATGCAATAATTAAATTGTTTTTTCCTTTTGTAGAGTTCTATACCTGGAAAAGCACATTAGGGAAGCTATGGAAATCATTTTGCAACAGCTTTTTAAAAAAAATCACATCTTTGTCTTAAAGATACAAAGAGCTTATCTCCTCTTCTCAGTTTTGTTGGCTGGAGAGGAGACAGGAGCTGGCATTTTATGTTATTGTGCTTGAAAAGGAGAGAACATTCCTGGTGTTTCTAGAAGTAAAAAAATGAGTTTCTTTGGCTTAATAAAAGAAAATGGAGGAAGCTGAGAAGTGGAAAGACATTCAGATGTATAGGAAGATCAGAAATTAGCAGCAGCAAATGTGGGCTAGTCAGAGAAAAATGGAGCCCCTTGGGTAGTAATAGTTCCAGCAAGTTGCCTCCCAACTTTACAATATGATTATGTGTTGGTGTGTGTCTGCATATAAGTGTATCTGCATAAATTTAGGAAAAAAATACTGTGAGTTTGCAAACCGAACTGTACAAGCCAAACTGTGACAAGTGGTTAAATAAGTAGCCTGGCTCCAGACCCCATGTCCTAACCATGATGTAATATTGTCTCTCGCTTGGATAAAGAAATGGTAATCCTATGCACCCTGAAAACGCTTTCCAAAATTGCAAGGCCCAGTGAGTCTATTTTTCATTTCTTTTTAGCTTTCTTTGTTTCTGTTATGTCTCATTCAACAGCAAGTTTTTCTTCACTCTCATTTCATCCTCTCACTGCATTTTTGTTTGTTTTTCTGAAGCACATTCTAGAATAACTTTTCCTCTGGGTTGCATAGTTATAAACTTACTGAATCTTTGCATATCTCAAAATACTTTTCCCCCTTATCTTTAATTGTTCACCTGGAAATGAAATTTTAGGTTCAAATTTATTTCCTCTGCATGTTTTGAAAGCCACATCTAGTGACTGATGTTGCTGGTGAAAAGTTTTATATTAGTCAGGATTTCTTTCCTTTGGAAATAATTGATCATATGTTCTCCTTAGAAGGTTTTAGGATTTTTTTGTGAATGATCACAATTCTGAATGGGTCACATACCATTCTCTCTGTGTATTTTTTTAAAAAAATTTTTATGAATGTGTATTATTCTATTTATTTAGTTAGTTAGTTAGTTATTTTGGTGAGGAAGATTAGCCCTGAGTTAACATCTGTTGCCAATCCTCCTCTTTTTACTGAGGAACATTGGCCCTGGGCAAACATCTATGCCCATCTTCCTCTATTTTTTTTTTTTTAATGTGGGATGCCTGCCACAGCATAGCTTGATGAGTGGTGCATAGGTCCGTGCCCAGGATCTGAACCTGCAAACGCCAGGCTGCTGAAGCGGAGCATGTGAACCCAACCAGTATGCCACCAGGCCAGCCCCCTCTCTGTGTATGTTCCTCTCTTACTGGTCCTGCCTAGCACTTGGTGAGTCTTTTCCATCTGATGAAGTGTATCTTCCGACCTGGGAATGTCTTTCAGTCCTTCAGGGATATGCTTTGTAAATGGATTAGTCCTTTTCAGGAATCCTGATCTCTACCTACAACCCTTCCAGGAAAAGTGTCACCTGGACAAGGAGGAGAATATATTGCGGGGACTGTACCTGAGAGTTGGTAAATCGAGGCAGTACCCTTATGGTACGGGGAGGAGAGGTTTGGGAGAATCTCAGAGAGGCGGAGCTAGGGAGCTGGTCCTTGGTTTCTAGAATGTATCGTTTCCAGCCTCCCATTCTTCATGCACCTGAGCAATTTGGTAAGGGGCATCCTAGCTGGCCTGGGCCTATGGATGTAAAAATTGTGTGTGGCTTTAAAAATATTTACTGCCAGTATTATAAAGGCCATGAGGTGGGAACGTTAATCTATGGAAGCTGATTTCTTTTTTTTTTTTTT